TACATTAACCTCTTTTTGCTAGAGACCAGATGCTGTTTCCTGACATGTTCTGGTTTTAACTGTCATTATTGCTTGTAAACATGCCAATGTAAATTATACGAGGGAGGGAAGATGACCTCATAGATCTCCTAATACAAATTCGATGGTGGTTTGTTTTTTTTTTTTGAGGGCAGTGGAAGACTTTCTGTAATTTAATTGAAAATTGAGATAATAGTATTGTGAATTTTTAGTTTAATTAGGTTGAGGTCAAGCTTTTTTTTTAAGAGGCATATTTTGGCAATAAAATAGTATTTCAAATATTGTCAAGTATTTTTGCCACTCAAAACAAGTGTGTGTAGCAATAACCAGGTACTTATCGAAAAGGAGAAGGTAGCTTTGCCAAGAATTTTAGCACCTTGTCAAGTTAGTGTTGTTGTATTTCTTTTACCCTATAGCTGAGCAGAATTAAAATGCATGTGTTTCCCATATTGAGGGTACTTGATGTCTGAGTTTGTTTTGGAAGGTCATTGTGTGTGTTCTTGATGTGTTTCCATGAAAGAAGAACCAAGCAAGGTGAATAAATCCATGCCCTTGGGCTGGATCACTACTTCTTGCCAGCTGCCATCTTTCTGCTTAGTCTTTTGGCCTCGTGACTTTTTGGAAATTTACTTTTCATTGCCTCTCCTACCTGATTTCTTGGGAATGTACAGATATTACAAAATAATATTTGAGATTATTTAAAAAAAAAAAAGTGACAGGGCTAGTGATGTTCTTGTTACCCTTGTGTATCTGCGCCTTGGATGAATTGGTAGATTTTTTGCAGTTCTCCAAGTTGGTAGCAGTAGCAGTGATCTGCTTGCTCTTCTTTTTTTAATCTTCTGTGGTGGCAGATTTTTTTAACTGAAGCTTGTTGACATTAATAGAGAGTGCTTCGCATTTTGTTTCGTGCACAGAACACCTCTTCCAGTCAGGCATAATATTTGCCTGGGAATGACGGCTTATCTTGACACCTGAGTATCTGGAGATCAGCTGAAACCTCCTTGTGTTGTGTGGCCTCTGCTGGTTCTGCTGCATAGCCTTGCAGATAAAATGGCAAGTTTAATTTTTATCCATTTATCCGTCTTTTGCAGATAGTAATGAAGAAAGGAATAGTGCCTGCACTGGTATGGGGAAAGCAGAAGCAGGCATGTTCAAATCATGCTATACAAACATGTCATCAAACCATACAAATGTATAGCTCTGGAATTAATTGTCAGGAAAAAGTGTTTTGGAACAGAGCTATGGAATCTAAATGGTACTTGAGATTATGAAGAGGAATGCAGGGCAATTTAGGTCTGTCATGCAGTTACACATAATTTATACCTAGTAAGAACTGTTTTGTGGAATCAGGCTTAACTGCAGTAGTCTTTCTTGATCTGATATCCAAGTTTTTGCCTGGTAAAATCTGGATTTTACTTGTTAGCTATGATGTAGTGTTGCTGTGATATGGAGGCTATCGGTGTAATTATAGGCTGACTAACAAGTTCTGTCTAGAGAAGGAAAAAAAACCCTAGTAATCCAAAGCATCAGATGTGTAAGTGCAAGTTAGTTGACATCTTTACTGGGCAGGGAGTAATGCTTAAACATGCAGTGATACAGTTTAAATCAGCACTTGCGAGTTTTCATGGAATTGAAATAATTGTGAATCTTTATTACTGTCCCACAAGTGATGAGCAAAGTAAGTTACAGAAGCATCACTTACGAAATCTGTACTTTATGCCCTGAAGAAATAGGTTTGTGTGGAAAGGAACTCTTTGGTTTGTTGGCTTGTCGTTACAGTCAGTTCTTTCCTGTCATGGTTGGGTTGGATGGCAATTTCTTCTCCTTTTGAATTGCTTCCCAACCCAACAGTAGTTCAAAGCAAAACCTTGAGAACCAATAGTTTACTGTCAGGACAAGTTAGGGAAGGATTCCCCTTATACTAAAGGCTGTTGCAGGTTCCTGAAGGCGTTTGGTTCCTGCAGTTTTGTTGTTCTACAGACTTTCCAGGGGCTGCTGGAGAAGCTCTGGGACCTGGAATGAGGCAGTCACAGCCGTGGTTGTATGTTTGGCTCTGCCCTCCACAGCAGGCAAGGAGCCGAAGGCACTGCTTGTCAGCTCAGTTGGGGCACTAGTATCCACACTGTTTGATCCGATACCTACTAGTGTTCACTGTGAGGGACAATCTTCCTTACCATAGGAAGACAGGAGAACATCTAGACCAAGCTGTGGTCCCTTTTGAGTGCCTTAATCGGAAAGGCTCCTACAGCAGGTCTCTCATGCAGTGTTCCCGAGTTGAAATTGCTGCTGCTTTGTCTGCATCTCAAGTTCTTTTTGGCTGGGTGTGCTACAGAATGATCTTCCTGAGTCCTCTGGTCTGAGACTCGCATTTCATGTGTTCCCGGTTTCTAGGTTATCTTCTGGCTGGAGGCAAGAAAACAGGGCAGTGACTGCTCAGGCCTGCTGTCTCTACCCCAGGTGAATCTCGTGTCCCTACCTGTTTAAGTGGAGAGACACCTTTGACTGGAAAGTCATTGAACTCAATTTCTGTTGGTCTGCAGGAAAAATACATTCTTCTGCAAGTGTTTCCTATTCACGATGAAGTATCGTTTACTGGTCTCTGCTGTATTAGAAGGGCACTGCCATAGCTGAATCTTTGGCCTGAGCTGGTGCAGCCATTTTATATGCTGATGTGGTAGTTTCTAAGCAAGGCAGTCAATACTCTGTATTCCAGCTGTGCTAAATTACTTAAAAAGGGGGCATGTTTTTGGAGAAGAGGACTGCAACAGCTCTTGAGGCATGCATTTTTTTCACCTGGACTCTCAAAGCATGGTTCATCCCTTGCCATCCTCCCTGTCCTCATCTTTCCCTTCCTTGGCTTGGAGCCTGTGTTTGGTCTGAGGCTGTGACAGTGTTCAACAGGTGCTGTTCATTTCATAGTGCTTCAAGTCATTGTTACCTGTTAATTGAAATTGTAATGTGTAGCTCTAAACTGCTTAGTTTGTTTATCCCAAGCATATTTAGTAACCCTCAGTTTTCCTTCTGTGGTGTTACCTGTTAATTGAAATTGTAATGTGTAACTCTAAACTGCTTAGTTTGCTTATCCCAAGCATATTTAGTAACCCTCGGTTTTCCTTCTGTGGTGGGAAATGCTGGTATGATCATGGAGGAAAAAAAGAAAAATACTTATAAGCGGTATTTCTTTCTTAAACCTTTCCTAGGTAAACCAGAATTGATGAGCATAGGGTTGCAGGGAAATGACTTGTGTGCTGCTTGCCAGTCAGGCCTGATTAACACAGGAGGCTCGTTTTAACTGGTGTACAGCCCCATCCAGTATAGATGTAAACTGGGACTTCAGGGTCTGATCACCTCAGATTACTTCAAATCATGCAACAGGAGCCTAATGACCATAATATATTCTCCTGCAGCTGGAATATCAAAAGGTTACCCCAAGTCTTCAGAGCATCTTGATCTAAGCCTTTGGTTTTCCTTTTCCTTCCAGTGAGTGAGTGGGAGGCAACTCAAGATTTTAATATAACAAAACACTTTTTCAAAGTGTTTTCATGTAAATACACGTGTCCTGCTAGCACACACAGGCTTCTATTTGCAGCTGAAATGTAAAGCAGTGTGATAAACAAAGATGGAGAAGGCATCCAAATGCATGGCTAATATGTCCTTGTAATATTGAGCAACAGTAATACATTTAGTGGGGAATAGAGATGCAATATAAAGTACAAGTTTGCTCTGAGACTGTTTTTAGTTAGGCACTGGGAAGGCTTGCTTACAGCTGACAAGTTTCTGAAGTTGGGGAGGATACCATCTGGGGTGGTAAATTGCTTCCAACTTTTTTTATTCTCTGGATCAGAAGATGCAGTGAACTAAACTTCCTGACTGGCGTATCGGAGGGGAAGCAATGGCTTGCAAAACCTTTGCTTGCTTGTGAACAATGTGGTCAGGCATAACTTCTCCTATAACATTATTTCCTGCAACACTGGGAATTGGTTGTAACAGTGGGACTACTCCAGTGCTCTTTAGTTACGGTGGAGCTGCATCTGATCTGCTTGGTGGGAGCAGCCTGTGCATGTGGCACGCAGTCTGGTTTGCATCGTTTTGGACGGGGTTACGTCAGGATTCGGAGTAATGCTGCGTGGGTTTGTAATGGAAATGTCATTATCTGTTTGCTTTCAGTTGACTAGACCTTTACTGAAGGAACAAAATGAGAAATGTTTTTAGAGGTAGAAAAATGTCTCTTTTCCTGTGTGTGGAATTGTCGGTGAGGTTGGACCCGGGTGCAGCCCTAACAACTTTGTCTTCATTGGGAGCAATTATGAACTTAACTCACCAGTTTTCCAGAAGTCAACTCCCTCCTGCCCCCAGTAGTTTTGGTTTAATTTTATACTGATGCTGGTAGTTGCAGTGTTGCCATTAAGTATGACGTGCAGTGCAAAACAGCATGTTTTTAGAACAATCAAATATTCTCATTTACCTGGCTGGAGAAGTTACTGCTGATGGTGGCAGCTGTAGTTGTTGACATTTAGCATGATGAGCAGCCCACAGTTTTTCTTGTAGAGCAGAAATGTGTCGTGGTGGATGGGAAGCAGTTGAACCGTGTACGGATTGGAAGAGTTTCTTCACAACCCAGAAGGACTGGAGTTAGTCTGAGCTTGTTAGACACTGGAGATCACAGAATCACAGTATGGTAGGGGTTGGAAGGGACCTCTGTGGGTCATCTAGTCCAACCCTCCTGCCGAAGCAGGGTCAGAAGAGCTAGACTTGCTGTAGAGACTGCATCCATTCTGCAGAGCGTTAATTTCTGATATTGTTGAATTTTTGTATCATTTGTCCGGGCTCCTAGTGTTTTTCACGTTGGACTGTCAGTCTCGTAAGATGGAGTGTGACTTTTGGTCTCCTGTATCCAAAGCCTAGGCATGAAATTCTGTGCAGCAGACCATTAAATGTCACTGTACTGATTCTGTGAATGTTTTCTGCTTTTACAGATGCCTTTGTAAATAGCCAGGAATGGACACTAAGCCGATCTGTACCGGAACTAAAAGTGGTGAGTTTATATTTACTTCTATCTCTGAAAAACATTCCGACAATGTTATGCACAAGTGAAAATCTTCTAAGGTTCATTAAATCTACTGCTAGGGGAAAAACACAGAAAGTGATTTTCAAAAGTAAATCATTTTTCTTCAGGAGAAATATTTTTATGTAGTTTGTGTATCTTCTATTTCTGTAAATGTGTTTCAGAGATCTGTTTGTATCTCTTTGCTGTTTCGACTTGCTTGGCCATGTGAACCAGCTTCCTAGGGTGGTCTTCTCAGTAGGGAAGTCTTACACTGCTGTAAGAGGGCGGAGTGAGAGTTAGCAGGCGATATCGAAGCTGCTTTTATCTCACTGTAATTGTTTTTCATAATTTCTTAAAGGACTAAATGTCTTTTCTGATTCTCTTAGAAGAATTTAGCTGAATTTATACTGAATAAAAAAGAATATTTTGAAGGGTTGTATAGTGAATTAAAAATTACATTTCACTGTAAGAATGAGCTGTGATTTAGTAGCTGCTAACAATAACTTTTCCCGTGGCTGAGTCATTCTCCGTATAGGTGGAAGAAAAGGTAGAAATAACACAGAGATAGATTGAGGGAATGTCTGAGATTTGCACTTTGAAGCGTTATGAACATGGAGGCTGGAGATGAGGGCTGAAACCTCCTCGTAGTGGATATCAAACTGGCAGCTTGAAAAGCCAGCAGCATGGAGTTGTTGAGGCCAGATCACTGTGATGTTTACCATGTGGGAGTTAAACACAATCAGTTTCTCAGACCCCACAAAATGACCATGGTACCCAAGATACAGAACTTGGTAGTACCTTTGGCAGGTGTCTATGCTCACCTCCTGATGCCCAGCCGTAAATGATCCAAGCACCCATTTGCTGGGTGGCAAAGTGAATCGGGCAAAAGCATCTGAATTTAAGAATGGGCAACTGGGGCCATGCTTCATTTGTCTGCTTCTTATGTGGTCGATGTCTTTTTCCGGGTCAGAGCTGACAATTGTGTTTATGGAGGTGAGAGAAAGCACAGGTCAAACTTCTCATGACAGATGCACTTAGGCAAAATGGCATCGTGGTTGAAGCAGCTGCCTCACGACTACAGTTATGTTTCTGGTTTGATTCCAGCAGCGCGCGAGGCAAGTAGAAGAGAAGATGGTAGTCAGGGTGCTATACAGGAAGGGCCTGTACGCTACAGGAAAGGCCTGCAGAGGGTCACCAGATTCAATTTAACTGATGGTGTCATTTGGAAGACAAATGTTGCCCAAAATACCTTGCACAAGAAAATACAAAGAATTTAGGACTGGGAGGTGTTGGTTGGATACGAGTCCAGTCCAATGTGGTAGTAGCTAGCTTTATGCTGGGGAGGATTTACAGAGGGTTTCCTTGTCCATCCCTTCGCTTTCTCTTAGCCCTACTAAGTCACAACACTCAGCAACATACTTAGGGCATGCATGTGAGAGCAGAGCTGCAATTACTGTGTGTTGTAATACAGAACACGAACAATTACTGAGCCTTAGGTAATGCTCTTGGGGACCAGTTGTTTCTTGCAGTACCATGGCTGCATTGTGTGAATACTTGTCTTTGGTATCTTGCCCCCGTGTTGTCTGAACAAGCGTTAGGAAAATAGACTTCCGCTGTGCGGCTGCTGTAGAGAATTGATTTGAAGTGGTCAGCGTGCATGAGCTGTCCAAGGCTTCAGTTTGTATAATCCTGGATAAAAGCAGAACTCTTACCATTACGAAAATAATAATTTGATTATGCCACTGCAAATTATTGAAGCTAGCAGCACCAGCTGTGGCCGTGAACTCGTGTTCCAGCAAGAAGGGCAAATTAGGAACAGCGTCTGAAATCCACTCCTGTTTTCCTCTACGGCTGCCCTTGGGAAGGCGTTGGTGCAGGGACCCATCTCTGTGTCGCTGCCCCGCTTCCAGCCCTGTCGTCAGCGCTGGCTGTGGCTGGCGAAGGAAGGGGCCGTGCTGAACGCCAGACCTGCGGGGCGGATGGGGAGAGGAGGCTGAACGCTGCGAGGTTGTGAAGGAGCCCCAGCTTTAGCTGCCTGAGTGGGCTGTACTCGGCGGGAGATGATAGTTAGGAGCTCCCTGGGAGAGATTGTCTTCTCCATAGAGGCCGGGTGGTCCTTAGATTGAGGTTGGTATTTGATTTTTGTAGCAGCTGCTGGTATACCCTTAGGCTCTACAGAAGTTGAAGGGGAATAGAAGTGGACTCTGGGAGAGCAGAAAAGGCACGCAGGATTGCAATAAGGAAAAGCTGAAGGATTATTTCTCAACATAGTTTTGAGGAAAGAATACCAGCCTTTCCTTCTGCCTCCTTTTTTAGCAATACACGATGGGCTTGATTTCTTTCCAGTTTTCAGAAGGATGTTTGTGTCTGCCCATCAGATACTACCACAGAGGGTTTTTTTGTGCATCTTGATGCTTCGATTACGGTCAGGAGCCTGTTAGGTCAGCTGGGTGAGACCAGTGCCTTTCCCAAGCGAGGGTGGTGTTCCTGGATCCCGTTTATCCAGATGTAAAATAAGGATGCATTAGGCAGAATAAATACGAGATCTTTTTGGACGAAATAATTTCATTTGTTCCAAAACAATGTGCAAAGCGCAGTCAGGCTTCTGTGCTGGATAGCTTGAAAATGCCAAATACCAGCAGTACATTTATGCATTTCTGCAAACAGGCTTTACTAGGATGTGGGCATAGTGGTCTGGATTTATTTTAAAGCATGTCTGGCACATGCAAAGAAATGATTCAGTGTTCCACAAGTCATAACTGACAGAGCATTGCATTGTACCCTTGTTAGCTGAATTCTTTTGCTTCTGAACTGGGTTAGGGTGGTGTTTTTGTTCTGTAACATGCTTGTCATAACTTTGTGCATTTCATATGTATCCATAAATAAACAGAAATGACTCAGATTGTTTGTATATAAAATATGGGAGACAGGAATATGACTTCGGTAAAAACATGCCGGCATATTTGTCGTACTGTGGGGGATCATCCTTAAAACAAATATTAATCCCCCTTAAGAGAGAAATTGTGTTAGAAGTCAGATTTTTCCAGTGTAAAGTTTATTGCTCCTAGTTTTCAGAGGTTAATAGTGGACAGAGACCTGGAGCAGTAACGCCAAGCACAGCTCAAACAACAAAAGGCTGATTCTGCTAGTTTTTAATTTGATGTACTGGATTTGTACCTGGTAGAAGAGAGATGGCTGCCTTCTCTCCTCAGATCCAGGCACTGAGGTGAGATCTGAAGGAATCCTCTCTCTCACCAGAGGAGGAGGAGGAGCAAGATGTCTCCTGGATGCTTTCTGAAGTATTTGTCTAGGGAAAAAATAAAGCTGTGCTGCAAATTTTCTTCATCAACGACCTGGATGAAGAGTAAGAATGTACCCTCAGCAAGTTTGCTGACGACACCAAACTGGGAGGAGTGGTAGATACACCAGAAGGCTGTGCTGCTATTCAGCGTGACCTGGACAGGCTGGAAAGCTGGGCAGAGAGGAACCTGATGAGGTTCAACAAGGGCAAGTGCAGGGTCCTGCACCTGGGGAGGAACAACCTCATGCACCAGTACAGGCTTGGGGTGGGCCTGCTGGAGAGCAGCTCTGCGGAGAGGGACCTGGGTGTCCTGGTGGATGACAGGTTGACCATGAGCCAGCAGTGTGCCCTGGCTGCCAAGAAGGCCAATGGGATCCTGGGGTGCATCAAGAAGAGTGTGGCCAGCAGGTCGAGGGAGGTTCTCCTTCCCCTCTACACTGCCCTGGTGAGGCCCCATCTGGAGTACTGTGTCCAGTTCTGGGCTCCCCAGTTCAAGAAAGATGAAGAGCTAATGGAGAGAGTCCAGTGGAGGGCTACGAGTATGATGAGGGGACTGCGTCTGAACATGAGGAAGAACAACTTCCCTCTGAGGGTGACGGAGCCCTGGCCCAGGCTGCCCAGGGAGGTTGTGGAGTCTCCTTCCCTGGAGATATTCAAGACCTGCCTGGACAAGGTCCTGTGCAGCCTGCTGTAGGTGACTCTGTTTTGGAAGGGGAGTTGGACTAGATGACCCACAGAGGTCCCTTCCAACCCCTACTATTCTGTGATTCTGTGATTCTGTGAAATGTAGATTTTTATAGTCAGGTTTGAGGAAACTTACTCTGGGTTCATGCAGTTTTTGAGAAGTTAGCATTAGTACTCCAGCACAAAACTGACTGTGTTAATGCTCTGTTCATGTTCACTTGTTTCTCCATTTAAGCCCCTGAAGAGCTTTTGGCAGTTTGGTGGGTAGTTTGAATCAGATTTAAAAGACAAATCCAGGAACTTCTCTATTAAGAAATAATTGAATATTCTGATCAAGAAAATCAGTCTCGCGTTATCTTTAAAACGCCAACTTTTTGCTCTTAATCTTGAGAGAAGCTATGGAAATGAATAAAAGGAGAAGGAGGGAGGAAATACACTGCCTTTCTTTGAGGATTGTGCATGGTTTTTAACAACGTATCTTAAGGGAAGAAGGCTCTAGTTTTACAATGTGAGTTAGTGAAGTGGTTTGTTAATTGAAATAGGCATCTTGCTCCTCCTCATCACTGCTTTCTGCATCAGACTGTAGCATCCTGTTTGGTGATGCTCTTCCAGCCAGGCGTCTTTGTCTTTCCGGGCACCTGGTGAGGAGGAACATACTGGAGAATGAAGTACTGTAAAGTTACGTATGCTAATATGGTTTTTGGAATACTTGAGGGGAAGAAATACATATGTACCGTTGTATTCTCAAATCACTAAATGTCCTTCAAATATTTGGAGTCTCTGATTAACCGCAGTAACACATCCCAGCCATGGGCAAAGGACGTACGTAGCATGTTCGCTCTCGCTGGAGCCCGAGCTGATGCTTTTCTGCTGTTCCTGGCAGTTTTGCCCTCTGACTGGTTACATTTTTGGCACTGGTAGAATATGAATTAGCGTTAATTTGCATACATGCAGTACTAGTTACTTGTAAGTGAAGGTTTCAGTATCTGCTGCTACGGTGTTTGTGTGATTGATAGACCCTCCATTAGATCAGGAGATATATTGTGGATATGTTGGTGCTACTGGTTTGCTACAGTGTAGACCAGAAAAAGCTTCCGTGTGTTTTTTCCAAAGGTCTAGAGGTACTGCTTCGAATGTGAAAACGCCAAATGCTCTTCTCTGTAGTTATTTTCCTAGCAAACCCGTGTGAAACTTGCTTGCTTTCCAATTCTTCAGAAGTTGTGGTGCTCAGAAAAAGGGCCTTAGCCTGGCTGTTTATCTGCACAGGTACATCAAATCTACTGATTTACAGGTGGGATTGCTGGTTTGCTTGCTGTTTTTGGCCCAGACTGTTGTAGTATAGAGCTGCTGGGGAAGGAGGAGAGGGGGACGCTTGCCTTGAGAGCGTGGTGCTCATCTGCTCCAGGGAGAAGCTGCTGCTGTAGTCAGTACAGACCACTGGTGAGCTACACGCTGAAGAAAACGGGCAACTAGCAAGAGGTTTAGTTAATATCTTTTTAAAAATTGATAATCTGTTAAAATCTGGAAACCCTTGGCCACTTGGATGTAATAGAAAAAAGTTAAATAAGTTTTCACATACTAAATGTTAACTGTTTGAGCGGTCGTGAATCCTGAACAGTGAAAAATGTGTAGTTCTAGACAAAGGGAAGAAGGTAGGAAGTAACCTCTCACTGGGAGGCTTTGGGTGGAAAAGGAGAGGGTATCAATTTTTATGTTGAGGAGGGGTGCAAAGGCCACGCTGTTACTCACAGGATTTCCTCAGGTGTCAGGGGTGTTTTTGTCTGAGAAATATGGAGGGTTATTCAAACATTTTGCTTATTTAGGGAAACGTATGAGTAGACAAGCTTATTGTAGTTTATTGGCATATAATGGAGGGAAAAGTCATTCACTTGCGAGATTGCTTGATGTTTTGGGGCTAAAGGACATATGTTAGAGACGGTATTTTCTTCCTCTTACCTCTCACTTGAAGTCTGAACAATGGAGAAAGCTGAAATGAAGTTGTGGTTAAGGCAGACATTCAGCATGGAGATACAGGATTTGGATGTCAGTGCAATATTGCTTTAGTTTTTGTTCTCTGTATGTACAGGTAGAAGTCCAAAGCTGTTTTTCCCTCCTTCTGACTGTCCTCGCTATACACTGAATGGGGGAACTGGGGATCAGTGTAATAAAAAAATTCACTGATCAATATTGTGTTTTCTCGTGCCGTACAGAATCTTGGACTTTGCTTACTGTCCACTCCTCACATTCTCTTTGGAATACAGCAACTCATTTCTGTATTAAATTTTCTTTAGGTCTTCTCACTTAGTTTTCAGTGAGACAAAATATACTTTCTCACTGCATCCATGAGATAAAAAAGAAAATTTGAAATTTGGGTGCTGGAGAGCAGTTTCACTTCTTGTTACCCATGTCTTAATTGGAAATTGTTCTTGGTAAATAACTGGTGTAATCTCCCTGCCCCTCCCTGACTCTAAAGCTGTCATTGGGTTGGTTTAAGGTGGCACCACTCTGCTGGTTTAAGCAATTTTTGATAAGAAGGATAGTGTCTTACCAGTTAGGATTAAGAAAATGGAGTAGAGAATGTGCATTAATGTGTCACTTGTTCATGCTGCCTTTGTCAGTTTGGCAAACTCGGGCAGATCAGCAGAGTTCATCCTCTCTCCAGGCATCTGGTGTGATCTTCTGAACCTTTTGGTTAGGGTCAAGATAAACACGTAAGAACCGAGTAGGCTTCGGTTTGTTTGAAGGATGAAAGAAGTTCCCTAGGCAAGGAAAAAAAAAAGGGGACATCTATTTGAAACATAGAGAAGGTATGTTCTCCAAACCCTCCTGTCCCCTGGGCTGTACAGGGGGGCAGACAACCAGGCTTGGATGTTGCTGCATCTGGCAGTCTGCTTCTGGTGGATGGTCAGGCCTGGGGACAAATCAACATGGCTTGCACTGGCCAGCGACGCAAAGCTGCGGCTTGAAAGGGATGGCTTGTTTGGTACTGAGAGAGTAGTGCAGGCAGGCTTCATAACTCCTTTGTACCCCTTCTAAAGCAACACAAGAAAAGCAAATCTTAAAGTCTTTGGCATCTGAGCACCTCTGGGAAGAAAACTGTTTTGGTGTTGGGCTGCATTCTACTTCTTCTGCCTGAGCTTTTAAAAACAAATGCTTGCTAACCAGCTTAACAGAAAAGTCATGTAAGCTTTAAGATTGAGTACTTCTATTTGATTGTCAGATGTTCCCAATGCTGGAGATGTCTGGGCATGGGTGGTTCAAGTGGTGAACTTGTTGGTCAAGTGAGGGCCTTCAGCAAGCCACAGCTGACAAGCTAAGATCTGGCTGTCTCTAGCCATGTGTGTCGTCTGTGTGCTTCAGTAGCAAGCCAAGCTGAGTCGCGTGGTGGATAGCCTACAGAGAGATTTTCCAGTGCGAGAACTCAGTGATGTGTGTGTTTAGTGATTTTTCACTAAAGAGGTGACGAGCTTGCTCTGAGCTTCACACTTCTGCCCTGAAGTCTACGTGTTGCCCAGCGTTCCCGCTTGGCATTAGTGGCAAGCTGAGTAAAGGGGTGCTACTGCCGTAAACTGATTTTGGTTTCTACATTTTGGCATGCGTATGCTCTGCTGTAGCCGTAGCTTTTTGGCAGTTACTTTATCTGTCCACAATTTTGGAGTGTTTCTATCGTGTGGACTTTCTCCTCAAGTGCAGAGAAGTTATTTCTGCCTTAAAATTTTGCTTGAATGTGCTGCTTTTTACGGGGATTAATTGCAGTTGAATGTTTTCTTTTTGTTTTTTTAGGGGATCGTGGGTAACCTAGCGAGTGGCAAGTCTGCACTTGTACATCGGTATCTGACTGGCACGTATGTCCAAGAGGAGTCACCTGAAGGTATGTGAACATGCAAATTTCACTTTTTTTTTTCCCCCACAAGCCACATCTTTAGTCATTTTTAGTCATGCAGTAATGAATCAGTAAAAAATCCTATTTGCTATTTCAATGTTTGTGGAGATTTTTCCTTTAACATTCTCCAGACTGAGATAAGTGTATGATAAGTGTAATTACAGCTTTTTTGTAACTGCTTAGCATCCTTAAATACTTTGGCATCCACTATGTGTCCATATGGGAAACTTCTAGTCCCGTACTGAGAAGAGTTAACTGCTCTCAGTAGTGCTGCTGTCTTTCATTTGGCTGTTGAAAGTCACAATTACTGTATTTAGTACTGGATCTCTGCAGAATTGGGCCCTTTGGTTTGTGATGTTGGGAGAATAAAAAAAACTTCACAAGCCTGAACTAAAGATTTAACTTAATCTTTGGTTTTTAAGGTTGTTTTTTTTTTTTTTTTTTTTTAAATGTTTTTCTGCCATAGAAAATGAATTTATATGTGAAAAAGTTGTAGTGTTTAACAATAATCCAAGTTTATAGCTTGAAATCAAAAATATCATAATACCTTATAGAGGTGTATCTTGCACTAAATACTTTTTTGGTTTTTTTTATCTATTCTCCTTATGAACTTTTAAATCCAACTCTGAGACACTGAATTTCTGGTTCCTTCTTTTCCTTACTGGCTGTTCCATTCTTTGCAGATATGGATGCAGGTAACTATGCATTGTCTTCATGGCAGCTCTTGTTTTGAAGAGACAGACGGCAGTTTCTGTACTATAGCGTTTTCCCCTTGTTTTGTGTATCATTTTGATTTGTTTCCTTTTGATTTCAAGTCTTTAGTACATCTCACTGTTTTTGTCTCTTGCTGTAGTTGTCTTTTCAGCAATAGTTTGTAGCTTCATGCATCTATGATAACACTTGTTTCAAATTAACTCTTGCCAAAGGAAGCTATTAAGCATAGTACCTGTCATTTTAACAGTCTTTAATTGGGAGGAGAGGGAAAGGGAGGGGTGGACAAGGCTTTTTCTTGTGTAATTGCAGTAACAGCGAAGTCTTCCAGTTTATAAGCTTGCCTTAAATGTTGTTGCTGCTTTGTAGCTAGGACTGGTGGGGTGATAATTGAGCCTTGCAACAAAACCATGTGTAGATCACACTTAATGCCTGCTGCTTCTGGATGCTGATAGCGAGAAATGGTTATATAGTGTGTATGTCTGCTGAATACAACAAGTCTTCAGCAAAAATGAGTGTCTCTACAGATGTCTCTGCTCATTTCACGAGCAGAAAGTATTTGTGTTTTTTTTCTTGCAAGATGCAAATGCATTGATTGTTCACAGGGTTAACAGTCCTCTCTTAAACTATGAATATTTTAGATGGTGTTCCTTGAGAGTGTTAGCATCTGCCCTCTTTGTCTTCAAGGATTTTTATTTACAGTGCTTGAGCGACATTCGGACTGTTTTTCCTGAAAGGATTGGATTTCAAAAGAGGTGTCAAATCGTTTCTTTGCACATAAGTGTAGCTGACAAGCCTCACTAATGACACCATTCCATTTCATTAACAGTAGAAAAACTGGAGTAATTAAGAGCCCTAATTCACCTTGTAAGGGATAGGGTCAAGGTTTCTAATCAAGTTAGTGTTAAAGGAAATTCAATCCATATAAACTATCGTTAGTAACATGATTTGTTAGTGTGTTATTTCTTTCTCATCCAAGAAAAGTCTGTGTGCTGCTGTTCTGTAGAATACAGCAGCAGTGCAGATGGTTCTGTTGCATTGCTGCGCAGGAGTTCTGATTTTTGCATTCAGGATGGGAATGTGGCTTTTGATAAATCAAGGCTAGGTGTAAGGCTTTGTGTTGGAGACCAATGCGGGTCTCCCTTTGCTTTGCTGAGGTGTTGTAAACTTGCCAGATTGTTAAATTGGATAAAGAATAGTGTGTGTATCAGCTGTTAGGGTGTCAGATGCTGGACTATTTAAGAAAAACCAAAGCTTACTGACTTGAAATGGTTCTCTTACAGCAAAATTTATCAGGCATCATGTAATTAGTATCTAATTGGTAAAGTACCTCCTGTGAAAATGGTGATTATGACCAGGGACAGCTATTTGTGCTGTCCTTTGCCTTCTAAATTGCTGCGATTACCAGGAAACCTGCCCTGAATTAGAGAAGTGCCAGATCTTCTATAGGCCTTTAAGGTAGTTTCAGCATTCCAGTAAATGAATCTTGGAGTATGTAAAGATGGTTTCATGTTTCCTTCAGCTCTTTTCTTGAAGATGATATATTTCTCTTGCTGCCTGACACCACCTCCCCCCCCAAGAGGAGCAATCATATCACATTAAACTGGAAAGCGTTTTTCTCTCATTGTCTCGCCTAACTTTTAATTCTGTTCAGAATTAATTTTAGTCTCTAGTGTGACTGTAACGTGGAAGCCTTTGTTTTCTCAAAGAATAAGTTTGTCTTGGGAAGAAAATTGACGTTTAGACTCTTCCTTTGCATATTTAACATGCATGTAGTTATACTCCCGGGTGACACAATTGTAAGTATTTTGATGTCAGGAAAGAAATTCCCCTGTAAGAAGTGGGGATTTCAGTAGTCTGGGACTTGCATTTTTTGTCTGTAATGATATGACAGGGAAGTGATGGGAAATAGGGTATTTTAGTGATTTGTGGTCTTCTAAGAACCTTCCGAGTGATAAGAAGAAAAACTACTACTAAACTGTGTACTGGGTTTTTTAGATAGCTGAAACCAGAAGTAAGATGCGTACAACCTGGTATCTTTTTTCACCTGTCTGAAACTTGATCCTTCCTGTAGGAACAAAATGAAACGCGGTGTGGGTGGAATTTGAGACCAAGTACTTTGCAGACCAGGGTGAATTGAAGTTTACAGGAATAGTGAGTGGCAGGGGTATTCTTTTACTCTTTGGGTTTTGGTTTCCGAAAAGCCACGGAGGCATTAAACATCACTCAGAGGTCTTTGCATGTCTCTAATATGGCCATGAATCCCCTATTCATGTCATGATTATTTCAGGATTTTTCTCCAGTGAGCCTAATGAAAAAAGAAAAAGCGCAGGTAAACTGTGGTCAAAGGTGTCTCAGCTGGGGTGAGGAAAAAGGTTTTTTTTTCTCTCCTACCCTGCTGCCACAGGAAAGTGAGATGCTGGAACAGACAGCTGGACATGAACTGCTAAATCTGTCCAGCGTATCTTCTGGAGGCGTTCAAAAAAAGCGTGGATGTGGCACTTTGGGACATGGTTTATCAGGTACGGTGGTGTTGGGGTGACGGTTGGACTTGATGATATCAGAGGTCTTTTCCAACCTGACTGATTCTACAGTTCTGTTGTAGTGAGCCAAGAAGGGGAGCCGAGGTCACGTTAACAAAATCCCCTTAAACTTGAAGATGGAGAATAGTTGAAGGAAGGAAGCAGGCTCCCTGTTGAGGAAGCAGAATTAGGGTGGTTGCACTGGCGGGTGTGTGGCACAACAGAAGGGAGTGAGCCTGTGGTGGAGCGACTGCTTTGGCTGTGTCTTTGGAAACTTTGGAAAAAGTTTTAAGGGCGCAGGTCTCCAGTGTAAGGTGCGCTTAGGAGTCTGGCTTTAAAGTAACTTAAAGTGCAACTTCTTTCCTGAAATTGGCAATTGCCTCTTTCGCCCCTGGTTTTTGGAGAATTGATGACTATCTAGTGGCAATCTGTACTACTTCAGCATTCAGATGAGGGACGAATGTTTTAAACAGGTTAATAACTAAACATTTAGATATATTGAAGATTTTTTCTTTTTTACTTTTTTATTCCCCCTGGGTGGAGTGAAATGGTTATTGTGCTCTCAAAAGCATAAAGGCAGTCCAGCATGCTGACTTGTGGGAAGCAAATAGCTGTTGCAGTCGGTGGAGATTTCACGTGTCTGTGTGTGGAGGAACTCAGGAACATAATATAAATGAAAATGTAGGTTGTGAATCTTTGCAATACTGTCGGTTTCCCACCTTCTAGGCTGATAATCCTTAGGCTTCCCTTGTAGCGCACAGTACAAAAGAAAGGCATTGGAACCTCTTACAGAGGGTGATTTTAGCCACTAATAGGTATCTTTTTTTTACCTCTCTGTAATTTTTTTATCTATGGATGTTTTTATTCCTTGTATGATGTAAGGTTACTCAGTTGCCTTCAATTTCTTTTCTCCCATTTCCTTTTTGCAATTGTAGCCGATTTTGGTTCTTTTTCTCATTGGTACAATGGGCTGAAAGCGCTTGCAGCGGGTGTTTTGTCCCAGCCGGCGCATCGTGTCGGTCGCTGCGGCACAGTGCGAGTGAGGCACAGCGGTGTGGCTGGCACTCCGGGTCTGTGGTGCCAGCCCAGCAGATAACCACCATGCTGGGACACGTAGCCCGTCCCCGAAGGGTAATACGCACCACGTTTCAAGTGCCGCTTCATTTCAGTTACAGGTCTTATACGTGTGAAGAGCTACAAAAAGTGTATTTCCCCAGTAAGCACTGTAGAGTAAAGCCTTGAAGTGCTTTCCAGAAAGCTGTGATCGTTTCCTTTGTTTCCAAACTTGACCAAAAATAATTTTATACTGTGGTAGCCTCAACTGATTAACTTTTTCAAGTACCTACAGTGAACACTGTATCACTTGAGTAACAAGCATGACCCTAAAACTTGATTACTTAAATACAAAGTGTCACATATAGCCTTCCCTTGAAAGAAGAAGAAATGTAATGAGATTATCATGAAAGCAAGTTGCTAGCCTGTTGCCAGAACCTGTAGAAATTTCATATTGGGGGATACAAGTCCAAGTTTTTCAATTTCTATTGAGTAACTATTTCCATATCATGCTACTTCAGCAGAGTATAATTATGCAAGGAGGGTGGAGAAAGACTGCTTTAAAACTTCAGCTGTTTTTGTTCAGCATCCCCTCACAAGATTTTTTGTCTGGCCACAGACTGTTACGAAATGTGTAGACAAAAAGCTCAAGCATAATCTGTTAACCTAGATAAGCTTCCAGTAGGCTTCATTCATGGAAAG